GTCATTTTCGTTTGGGTCATCTTTCTTTTTTTGCATTAAGTCATTTATTCTCAGAACTGTTTAAGGGAATTAGTTTGTCCAGACTTCATTGTGAGTCTTGTGAACTGTCAAAACATTGTAGAAACAGTTATCCTTTGAGTAATAAAAGATCTTCTCCTTTTAATATTGTGCACTCTGATGTGTGGGGGCCTTACCACTTACCCTCTATGGGTGCCTACAAATATTTTATCTTGTTCATTGATGACTTTTCTCAGTTCACTTGGATATTTTTGATGAAGTGCCGTGATGAAGTTCCAAGACTTGTGAGGCCATTCCATGAATTTGTCCTAACCCAGTTTGATACCAGAATTAAAAATTTCAGATCCGACAATGCAAAAGAATATTTTGAGAAAAACTTGACCTGCTATCTCACTGATTTAGGGGTTATTCATCAAAGCTCCTGTGTTAGGACCCCAGAATAGAATGGAGTTGCTGAAAGAAAAAAAATAGACATTGTTGAAGTTGCAAGAAGTATTCTATTTGCCTCACATGTCCCTACAAACTTTTGGGGTGATGCTGTTCTCACTGCTACCTACCTTATAAACCATATGCCATCCAGGGTTTTAGGGTTTAAGTCTCCTTTTAGTCTTCTTCATCCGGACAATGATCTTTTTCCTATTCCTCTTCGTGTCTTTGGCTGCACCTGTTATGTACATGTCCCAAGTGTCCAAAGACATAAATTTGAACCAAAAGCCCACAAGTGTATCTTCCTTGGTTATTCCCCCACACAGAAGGGTTACTATTGTTTTGATCCGGAGACTGGCACTCGGTATGTCTCAATAGATGTCACCTTTGATGAGCTTTATTCCTTTTATGGTTCTTTTCTAGAGAGACATTGTCCAAAGGGGGAGGATTTGTCACAGGTGTTTGCTCTTTCTCTTCCTGTCCCAGTTGAGTCTTTTGTTGAGTTTCTTCCTCCTTCAAATGAATCAAGGGAGGATCAATCACTTCACTCTCATTCCAGTGTTCCTATTCCTCCTCCTTCACCTCCTCTCCCTCTTTTTAATCCTAGGTTGTATCAACGGCAAAGAACTAGAAATGAGCAGGTTTTTTCCCCTACAACACATGAGCCTCATGCACTTCCAGTTACAGATGAGACAACAGGTACTGTTACAGCCCCTTTGGACCCATCATTCCCAGACCTTGATATTCTCATTGCTATTAGGAAAGGACAAAGGAAGTGTACTGCACATTGCATTTCCAAACACCTTTCTTATAGTTTGCTCTCTCCTTCATATTTTGCCTACCTTTCTTCTGTTGCTTCTAACCCAATTCTCAGGTCTGCGTCAGAAGCTCTTAATATTCCAGAATGGAGGGATGCTATGAGAACAGAAATTAATGCCCTGTACAAGAATGACACTTGGGAAGTGGTTGGTTTGCCTGAAGGGAAGGGTCTAGTAGGCTGTAAGTGGGTCTTTACTATCAAATATCATGCTGATGGCACCATTGAAAGGTACAAGGTTAGGCTGGTTGCAAAAGGCTATACACAGACATATGGGATTGATTATCTGGAAATATTTGCCCATGTTGCCAAGATGACTTCTGTGAGAGTTCTACTATCTTTGGCTGCACACTCAGACTGGCCACTTTATCATCTGGATGTAAAAAATGCATTTCTGAATGGAGAATTACATGAGGAGGTCTATATGTCTCTTCCTCCAGGGATGTATGAAACATATATGAAAGGAAAGGTTTGTAGGCTGAAGAAATCTCTTTATGGACTCAAACAGTCCCCTAGAGCATGGTTTGAAAGGTTTAGGGCTGCCTTTGTTAGCTTTGGCTATATATAGACACAGTCTGGTCATACCCTCTTTGTGAAGAGGAGAGGATCCTTGGCCGTTTACCTGATTGTGTATGTTGATGATATTGTTGTGACTGGTAATGATGTCTCAGGAATCAATGATCTCAAATCTTTTCTTCATACAGAGTTTGAAATCAAAGATCTAGGGGAATTGAGATACTTTCTTGGCATAGAAGTTGCTAGATCCAAGGATGGGATCCTTATCTCTCAGAAGAAGTATGTTCTTGATTTGCTCTCTGAAACAGGGAAGATGGGTGCTAGACCAATTGCTACTCCTATCGATATGAGCCATAAACTTTCTGATTCAGATGGAATATTGTTAGAAGATAAGGGAGTCTTCCAGAGACTACTTGGAAAACTTCTTTATCCATGCATGACTCGGCTAGACATTGCATACGCTGTCAGTTGCATCGGTCAGTTCATGCATGCTCCCAGGGATACTCATATGGCAGCAACAGAGCGGATTCTGTGTTATTTGAAGGGCTCCCCTGGAAAGGGAATTCTATTTGCCAAGCATGGTCATATGAAACTTGAAGCCTACACAGATGCTGACTGGGTTGGAAACATTGATGACAGAAGATCTACCTCTGGGTACTGTAGCTTGGTGGTAGGTAATATTGTCTCTTGGAGAAGCAAGAAACAATCAGTTATTGTTCGATCTTCAGCCAAAGCAGAATACAGAGCCATGGCTCATGGAGTTTCTGAACTATTGTGGCTTAAATCCTTGATGGAGGAACTGGGTATTGAGCATGATAAGACAATGATGTTATACTGTGATAATCAGGCCGCCATCAACATTGCTCACAAGCCAAATCGGTGTGAGACCCTCGCTTCTATGGGAAAATCAATACTTTGGAAAACTTACAGAAAAAGAGACCCTCGCTTTGTCTTTCCCAAAATTGGTGTTCCTTGTGTAAGGCCGAGAATGAGGACTGTTTCCATTTGATGATCTCCTGTTCCTTTGCTACAGCTATATGGAGGTGGAGCCTTTGTTTATTTGGAGGTAGGTGGTCTATGCCTTCTGATTTAAGCTTGTTATTCAACCCATCTGTCTTTGTTTGGCACACTAGAAGAGGTAAGGTCATGTGGAAATGTGTYAGGGCAGCCACTCTGTGGACTCTTTGGGAGGAAAGGAATGCAAGAATTTTCTTAGAGAAGGAAAGAGGGTTAGATGAAATGAAGGATTGCATCCTAACAAGAGCAATCCATTGACTGATAACTGTGGATATCTTTGATGACTTGTGAAGGAATTGGCTAGTAATGGCTAACACTTCAACAAAGAAGGATAGAATTCTGTCAGAATGGATGCCTTTGGAAGGACATCAACATAATTTCCCTATTCTCAGGACCGGTGGGAGTGGGGGATTCCACAAGGGCATAAATCCTTGCTGTAGTACAAGGAATTCAGATCGCCAACCAGCTTGGGGTGGAGCATCTCCTAGTTGAAGGGTACTCTCAGGTGGTAAATAGGTGGCTCCTAAACTTGGATACCACCATATGGGGCTACAAAGATCTCATAAAAAAAGTAAAGTGGTTAACCAACAATATGAGAGTTGAGGTAAAATGGGTTAKTWGGTCTGCTAATTCTTTGGYTGATGCTTTAGCCAAACAGGGGGTTTCTAGGGAAGATCTTTTTTGTGCTTCTAGGTAAGTTGTTATTAATTTGGAAATCTGTACTTAACTAGCCCGGAGAGGTTGCAACATGTGCCTTTCCTTGGGGACTTTGTACTATTGTTGTTGATTAATAAAATTATTTCAATTATAAAAAAAAACATTGCTCAAAACCCAATGCAACATGACAGAACTAAGCATATTGAAGTTGACCGACACTTCATTCGAGAAAGAGTGGCTTCTGGAGAAGTGTGCCTACCTTTCATCAACTCTGAAGGACAGTTAGCAGATTTCCTCACCAAGGGCATTCCCAAGGCTAAACTTCAGCATGATACTGGCAAGCTTGGCATGATTGACATCTTTGCTCAGACACTTCATTCGAGAAAGAGTGGCTTCTGGAGAAGTGTGCCTACCTTTCATCAACTCTGAAGGACAATTAGCAGATTTCCTCACCAAGGGCATTCCCAAGGCTAAACTTCAGCATGATACTGGCAAGCTTGGCATGATTGACATCTATGCTCAACTTGAGGGGGAGTGTAGAGAAGATGGGCCGAATGGCCCATAGGCTGTTTATTCTTTGCTGTAATGGGCCTTCATCTGGGCTTATTCTTTCTTATGTTATGTCTTTTTTAATTTTCTGCCCAATTAAGGGCTTCTCTGTAAATTACCAAAGTTTAACTTAATAAAATAGAATTAAGGGTGTAAGAGAAGAGATTATGTTCGAAAATCTCTCTCTCTGAACCCAAGTTGCCGCCACCTTCTTCTTCATCTTCTCTCCTCTTGAACTCTGATTTCTGCTACTTTCTTTTGATTTTTTGCATATTTCTAAATAGTCATTTCTTCTCAAATGCTGTTTTTCTTCTGCTATGAAAGTGAGTTGACCCATCTTGGCCCTTTTAGGTATTAATGAATACATAAGGTTTATAATCATTGGAATATGATGTCTACCGACCCTCTAAACTTGGATGTCTATGTGGCAAATTCCCACTTTATTGTCTTTCTTTTAATTGCCGAAGACATTGCCTTATCTGAACGTGTACTTCAGTGTTTGCTCCAAACGGTTTTGAACACTCAAATGGTAATGCTCAAATGCAGGAAGGAGTTCTTCAGATGGTAACACTCACATGGAATTTGAAGCAAAATCTGCTAGGGATGGGGCATGGTTAGTATTTTCTAATATCCAAGTGCTGATTCTATGCTGCATGAATATATCATTGGTGATGGTCCTCTTATCTTTATCTGATTCTTGTCTTCACTTGTCAGGTATGATGTTGCGACCTTTATTTCACATAGAATGTTTGAAACAGGTGATCCGGTAATGTTCGGAAATGCATAACTTCCCAAGAATAATTTGTTGAATAGGAAATATCAGAAGAATTATCTAAAAAAGGAAAGATTGGAAGTAGCTAGTGTCAAAATGTGTTTACTTGTACATTCACTTATAAGTTGGTTTTAGTCATGTTATGCAAATTTTATTTCTTTCAACCAATTTAGTTTTTTATTTGATCTTTGGACGAGGAAAACTAAGCTTGTTTTATAATTGCTTGAATATCCACTATTACATATGGCTCCCACTAATATAATTTCCCTGTCAGTGGTACGATAAAAGGCTTATTGGAGGACAAATTGATAAAATTCAAAAGAAAAGGCACTTTTTGGTATCATAGAAACAAGTGTATAGAAAATCATACGAGTACTTGTATTCCTCAGTAAGCAATTAAAAAATTGAGTTTTTTAAACACCCACTAATGCTTCTTAGTAAGATCATAAATTTTAATACCTAAATACTGCTCAGTTAAGCAATCTCATACATAACCTAAACTATTCAGTATCCGCTGAGTAGCCTTCCAAAGATGTATTGACACATGTAGCCTATGGGGAATTATACTTGACCATCCAGTGGTCCAACCTAGGGATTTATGTGAAAGCTTGCACTATATATTTATAAGATGTATTGACACATGTAGCCTATGGGGAATTATATTTGACCATCTAGTGGTCCAACCTAGGGATTTATGTGAAAGCTTGCACTATATATTTATAAGATTATTACCTGTGATTTTTCTTATAGCCAATATAAATTATAAGTGGGTCAAGGATATAGTTAGTGTAATGCTAACTATATTAATAAAAAAAATTAATCTTTTGATAAAGAAAAGGATATAGTTAGTAAGATCATAAATTTTAACGCCTAAATAATGCTCAGTTAAGCAATCTCATACATAACCTAAACTATTCAGTATTCACTGAGTAGCCTTCCAAAGATGTATCGACACATGTAGCCTATGAGGAATTATACTTGATCATCCAGTGGTCCAACCTAGAGATTTATGTGAAAGCTTGCACTATATATTTATAAGATTATTACCTGTGAATTTTCTTATAGCCAATATAAATTATAAATGGGTCAAGGATATAGTTGGTGCAATGCCAACTATATTGATCAAAACAAGATACAGTTAGTGCATTGCTAATTGAGTCTATGTTGAATAGACTTTTTTTCTAGGTATGTACTTCAAATGGTGCTCCCACCTTTTTTTTAATTAACGACGGGGAGTATAATATTGAAATATTACAAAAAAGGGGGAAACCCCAAAATGATAAAAGATGTTTATATGTTAAGCTGGGAGAAACCATGTACAACCATATACATGCATATTGAAAGGACAACTAAAAGCCATATCTTACCATTGATCTACACTATTATAATTAAATCCTTCAAGATGCTTCAATATCAGAGAGTAGAGACCCAATGTTCTTTTATGCTATATGGTTATGAGGAGCTATCATTCCATTCCATCCACTAGGTCTAGATTTTTTTCCTAGAACATTGCAATAAATAGAAAATGAAAGTGGGCTTTTGATTCTTATTTCATGCCTTTTTTATCTATGCATCTCATTCTTTCATGGATCTTACTGGTAATTTCAGGAAGTTCGAGTTCGCTTTGCAGGGTTTGGAGCAGAGGAGGATGAGTGGGTTAACGTGCGCAGGAATGTGAGGCAACGATCTCTCCCATGTGAAGCATCAGAGTGTGTTGCAGTACTTCCTGGAGACCTCATACTTTGTTTTCAGGTGAGGTTTCACTCATGACTACACTATTGTAAGATCCTACCAAATGTGAGCACTTTACTCAAGTTCTGGAAATTTTCAGGAAGGTAAAGAACAAGCTCTTTACTTTGATGCTCATGTTCTTGATGCACAAAGACGAAGGCATGATGTAAGAGGATGTCGTTGTAGGTTTCTAGTGCGCTACGATCATGATCAATCTGAGGTATACAAACTGTGATGCTTCTTAATTTGAACTGTCTAATATTATTTAGTTTCCTGTCATGTTTACAAAGTACATTTTCACTGCATTGTTCTTGAGAACTTGAGGAAATACATATCAAATGAACATATGTAATGTAAGAAATGAAAAAATGTCTAAGACTTTCTTGCTTAGTTTAATAAGAATGGCCCATCTTATACATTAGGACTGCTAATTAATGTTATTTGGCATTGCATATTATAAATCCCCGTTTCTTGGATTGCCAAGCTCACTTTTGGGAGTGCTTATTGTTTAAATAAGTGTTTTTTTGGATAAATATTAATAAGCGCTTATTAAATAAGGAGCTTATAAGTGTTTGATGAAAAAGTGTTTCTTTTAAACAGGCTAGTATAAGTATTTTGATAATTAGGTGGCAACCAAGATGGGCCAGAAACACAATAAGCGCTTTTCCAGTAAGCACTTGTGAAAAACCATAATTTTGGGCTTCTTCAAAATGGACTTATTCTCTTGAAAAAACACTTATTGGTAAAACAAGTGCTTATTTTACCAAACGCTCATAACTGCTTTTTTGTGTGGACCCAGCCTAAAATAAGTGCTTAAAAATAAGCACTCCTAAACATCGGTTAATATAAATTGCAGCTTTTTTGTTCCTTCTCTTTGCCTCTTTTTCTTGTTTCCTGTTAAGTAGATAAAGGTGGTTGTAGTCAACGTTTTTGAACTTCCGTTGACCCGGACGGTCAGACCATTCGGCCCTGGAACCGTCCAGGAAACCAGTTCCGTTTTACCCCAAACCTGGAATCTGGTAAAAAACCGTAGAAAAAGTCAACAAACCGTTGACCTGGGTGGTCGAACCGTCGACCCATTCAACAGTTTTGACCGTCTTTTTATTTTTTAGTTTTTTTAATTTTACTGTCAGAACGGGCCGTCTGTTCAAACCGGACGGTCGGACCATCGACCCGGAAACCGGTGGGCAGAACAATTCCGTTTCCGGGTCGTTTTTTAAAACGTTGGTTGGAGTTTGAACTCATCAGTTCATCTTTTAGTTTACAACTGATGCAAGAATTAATGGATTAGTTGGACTGGTGTATGCTCGAGATAATGATACATCAATCTTTGATCTCATCATAATCTTAATGCCCTTAGTTCTCTTGTGCTGCAGAAAAATCAAAATCAAAGTGATTGTTCATTTGATGCTTTTTCTGCGTTAGTGCTGAACATACTTCTACTAACCTCAATTCTTCTTTTTTTTTTTTAAATTTTGTGGGGTAAAGTAATCGGTACCCCTTACCCCAAACCCTTAGATCCCAACCCAGGCGAAGGCAGGACTTGATCCCAGGTGTCTGCTACAACCAGCTAGAGACTTCACTATCAGGCTAGCTGGCACCTTCACCTCAATTCTCTAAGTTCATTACTAACATTATTTTGTCTAATTACAATTGCAGGAAATTGTGCCACTTAGAAAGGTTTGCCGCCGGCCAGAAACTGATTATAGGTTGCAACAACTCCATGCTATGAAGGAGTCTGCGTCAGCTGATCTGCGGAATGTTGGAAAAGATCCTTCTCTTGTCAGCACGTCTAGGGATATCAACTCAGCAGCTCAGCTGGCACGAAAACAGCGTAAACCGGAGGAGAACACAGATGAAATGGTTGCAGCAACTCTTTCTCAAGCCAAAGATCCTGTAACCACAAATGCCATAACTATGGATATAAAGAAGTCTCAAAATGGTCCAGAGAATATTGTGGGAACTTCTGATATTCCTATGGGTGATGCTACAACTACTGTGGCAACAGTGGCTAGCACTGGCACAGGTACTGGGCCTGCAGGCCCCTGTTCAGGCACTATTGAGAAAATACAAGAAGGAAGATAGGGGCGAAATAGGTCTTTTCCCATTCTTCCAATTTTTTGTTTTTTGGTCCATTGGGCTCCAAATGTATATTTTGAAACAAGAATGTTGGCTAGAGAGGTGGATGCACGTTCTGACTGTAAATGATGGTAATTTCATTGCAATGGTCATATATTGATCTTTTTGTTCTAAACGCCTACTTCTACACAACATTGTCATTTTCTAAATTTCTATTCGTAGGAAGACGATTAACTACTTAACTAGCTGTATTTTATTTATTTTTTGACAAGTCAAAAGATTGTTCTGGGACACAGGACCTGTGACCTACTATACTACTAATCCGTCTGGAATCTGATCATACTGATTTTGTAGGCCGGATTAAATCCAAATGGTTGAATCTTCGGAAAAGTTTCTTAAAATAGTGTTGTCTTTTATTTCGTTTCAAGGTTAAATCAAATTACAAAGAAACTAAATATGGAAAATTTATAAAGAAATGGGTGACATTGCTTCAATGCCCAAATGGCTATCATGTCAGCCACCTGCAGAAGGTTGTGGAAAATGGATGTTGATGCCGCTAACCCCAAACCATTGCAAGTGTTGGTATCGTCATCTGCAACTGATCCTGTAGCTTCTTTACGGGCTCTGCTATTAATTTGAAAAAGGGAGATCCTGAACTGGTTCAAGCAGTTGCTTTCACCAAAGGTTTGAAGTTTGCTTTTGAGTTGAGCATTTCTTCTATAAAACTCTTGAGGGAGATGTGAAGATGGTTCATTTCCTGTTGGGTATCAACTCTGCTATCCCTAGGCATATCTACTGCTTTATTGGCTAACAGAAGGTTTAAAGTATTGATACTGGCTGATACGTTGGTAGGGCGTATCGGCCCTATTTTAAATTTTCACTTTTTTTTTTCCAATTTTAGTTCAGAGGGTCCGGTTTAAGTCCTGACTACCCGCTGAACCAGGCCCTGATCGATACAACCCTTGCAGGGATGTAATGGGAGGGCCCAATATGATATATATCAGCTGATACATAACGATTTTTTGAACCTTTACTACTTACTATTACTAAATTTGCTTGTATGATCCGTGCATATTCAAGGTGTTTTTAGCTACATTGCATCTGATGGTTCGCAATGTGTCATCAACGAAGATTATTAGGGAACGAGTTGGGATTAGCTGAATTTGATAGCTGTTTTTCAGGCTGTGGGACCAACCCATTTTGTTCCACACCAGTTATAAATACAAATGAGAAACAGAACGATTGTGGGCTGCAATGCAACATGCGCACTTTATGGGTGATGTAGAGCAAAATGATTGATCCCACAACCAATAAATCAGGTGATAATTATAATTAGATGTAATCCGTTGATTAATTTTGAGAAGAAAATATATCGGGTCTGTGGTTAGGACTTAGGAGAGAGGGGCTATCAGTGGTTTTGGGGTCTCAATAACTTGAAAACCATCCAAGAGTGTGAATTTTAGGGTACCATGTATGTTTCAGTTTCAGTTTCAGTTTCAGTTTCAGACATTGAAGGGGTCTCCCACTAGAAGGTTCAATTAACCAACCATGTGTTTAATTTTACCCTATTGTTGCATGAAGATAGATAAAAGAACTGATGCTAAATGCTAATAGATAGTTTTGAATTGCTTTAGAGTTGATCCCCAAATCATATGGTTATATGCTAATTGATTGTTCTGGTTTTTGCACAAATAATTGCCAGGTTTTACCATCTAGTGGTGGGTCTAAGTTATTGGGGGTCCTAGCACCTGAACGATATTCATGATGATGATCCTCTTTATGACAAAATATGTACCAAAAGTTCAAAGTTTTTTGTTCTTTGAAACTTTTCAGTAATTAGTGGTGGCCCTGGTTTGCTCAATGAGAGTAGCTATCCTTTTGCTTTTGTACGAGTTACATGGGTGGACCACTGGGTCATGATGATGTTCTTGAAAAAGGCTTAGCCATGTTCAAAGGGGGAGGGACAGTCAGAGAGAGAGAGATGCAATTGCATGTTCTTAGTTTCTTAGTGAATTATGTTGCACAATGAAAAGTTTCTGTTAAAGTTCAGAAAGCTCAACATGCAAAGCATTCATATATTGGTAAACAATCACGTGTTTGTGTTGATTTTTTTATGTGTAATTGCTTTGGTAGGAATTGTTCATGGTGAGCCTCAATCCACTGAGAGAGTGTAGTGTACTTGACCAATGCACTAAAAACACTGTCAATATTGTAAGGGAAAATTTCTGATTAGTACCTTGTATTTTGTGCCTAATGATGTTTTGGTTCTTGAACTTTAAAATGCAACAATTCAATACCTGAATTTTTAAAATGTATCAATTCAGTATCTGCCGTTAATTAGCTGTTAACCAACCATTAAGTGACATTTGAAAAGGATAGAAATGCCCTTCAAGTGTCCTCTAATTTTAATTTCTTTATAAATCATCTAAATGTTGACAACATATTAATAGCCTCAAATCTTTGTCTCTTCTATTCAAGAAAAGTTGGGGTCATGTATCAATGGGCATTCTGGTGACCCAAACTTTTTTAAATAGAAGAGGCAATGATTTGGGACTGTTAATTTTTTGTTAATGTTTAGATGGTTGATAAAAAAATTAGATAGCATTCAAGGGCATTTGTGTCTTTTTCAAACACCGCTTAACGATTGATTAATAGTTGGTTAACGGTAGATACTAAATTGACACGTTTTGAAAATTCGGATACTAAATTATTGCATTTTAAAATTGGGAGACCAAAATGTCACTAGACACAAAAGTACAAGGTACTAATCAAGAATTTTCCCATATTGTGATAGTCAAACCCAAGTCATTTAACCTTAAGGATCAAGTGATAGAGAAATGAAAATTGGTTTCAGACCCTTTTCACAGACCTCTAGCCCTAGACCCGCCCACCTCCCATGTTTGTTTTGCAGTTTTGATGCCTTTGGTTCTCATCATCTTTACTAGGTTTCTGTCATTTCTATATGATCAATTGTGGAATGTCTGAAAAAAAACCATCTTCAAGCATTCATGATCTGCTACTCGCACTAATAGAGGCTATGTAACCAATCACGAGTGAACACATTAATGTTCTGTACACATATACACATGGGAATGTTGCTGTGTTCGCTATGTGATTGGTTATGTACCAGCCTATAAATGGTGGTGCGACCCAAATTTGAATACGAGTTCTTCTTCAAGAGCTCTGGGCTTAGGAATGGCAATTTTTCCCATTCCCGATGGGGACCCGACTTCCCCGACCCAATGGGGTCAGGGATGGGGATTGAGGTCCCCACCCCGACCCCGACCCTGATTATGTATATATATTATATTATATATATATATATATATATATATATCAAAACATATTTAAAAATTGTTTATAATTTAAAATTTTTATTTATTTTAAATAAATTTATTTTTCAAATAAATACTGTTATCTAAAAAAATTTGGGGGATTCGGATCCCTGTGGGGAACCCATCCCCATTGGGGATCGGGATGGAGGACAAATTTTATCCCCGGCGAGGATCGGGGATAAGGACAAAAAATATGATCCCCGCCCTGAACCCGCCTCATTGCCATTCCTATCTGGGCCATGCAACCCAAAATTGAATTGCATAATCTCAAAAGGGTTCTTCTATGTGTTCTTAGATCTCCAATGAGTCAAAAAGTCAAAACGATTAGCTGATTTCTAATCTATAATTGGTGGTCCTCTTTCTACTCTTGGTGGCCTAAGATTTGAATATGAGGCCTAATTAGTGGTCTCAGTCCATTCAAATGTATTAGTCTATGAATTAACTGTACATTCTTCTTCTATTGAACCATGAAATAAGCATGGAAAAGGTTCAACCCTCTATTGATGAGAAGAGTTGAAGATGGTGCAACATCGAATCCTGTTACGTTAYTTCGAATGGAATCTTAGCCCGCCTCACTTGACTGAGCATAAGCGAAGTCRAGGGATTTCCTTCTAACTAGTGGCTGAGAGTAAGCAAGCTACCTTCTCTTTCATTGAACAGATTTGTGGTTGAGTCATTAACATGCTCTGGGTCGGGAATCTTTGCTCTTCTCTTTTGCATTTCCGCTGCCTGCGTTCTTCTTCGTGTCCGTCCGTATCGCAAAGCTGGTCGACGCCAGCTGTAATGGTTGAAAATAGGGGACCAACCAAGACCCCTTAATAAAGCTTTGTTCGATGACCCTGCTATGCAATCCAATGTTGCACATCACCCAAACTTCTCTGACAACCATGGTGTGGAGGTTTTTAGGCTATAACCAACTCCAAAAAGGGATGTGGCTGTGATTGTGATTGTGTAGGTAGACATGGACCAGAGGAGTCTACAGTTGCGCAAATTTTAGCAGCAACATTTTTCATTTGTATTCTATTATCACATTCAACAATAGATATGGCATTAAACAGAATGAAACCGTGAATCAAAATTCATGTAGCCAGCCCCCAGGCTGCTTGGATGATGATGCTATAATGTATGAATCACTTCTTCTGATCTTGATAATTTTTTTTCTTTTTCTTCAATCAATGTTTCAAGGTTCTAAATGTGTATTAAGCATATTGGTTTTGGTTCGTTCACATTCACAAAGAATTTACTATGTATACATCACTTTTCACTGACAATCATGTCAAAGTTTAATTTAGATGAAACTGGTTTTTGCTGTTGAGGGGAGGCCGGAGGCATCAGGCATCTACTCCAGGGTCCGACCAATAATGGCCTTTTATCAACTTATGCTGGCCTTAATAGGAGCAATGATAAAAGGTTTGGAGGCATCTGGTAAGTATTTTGGACCATTGGTTTGGATTTAATGTCCGGACTGTCCTGGTTTTAATTTAGATTGATTCCAATCTAAGCCTGGTCCTTTGACAAATGTATTCTCAATGGATCAGATATTGTGGTTCAATCCGACCCAATCAATATAAATCTATTGCGGATGGACCAAGTCCAATCCAATTCAATAAATACTTTGGACCATTAAGTTTGGACGGGTCCAATTCAAATGTCTTATTGGTCTGTCAAATTCATCCAAATTGGTTTTGATTTGGATGGGGTCCAACCCACAACTGGTCCATTGATACCCCTAGATACGGTTAGTAGGGGTGTTCGAATTCGGGTGATAAATTGAAAATCGAATTGAACCAAACTGAATAAGCTAATTCAGTTTGGTTAATTTGGGTATCGGTTCGGTTCGGTTTTTATTTTTTAAAAAAATCAGTTTTTTGTTTCAGTTTGGTTTGATTGAAATTTTCAACCAAATCAAACTGAAAAACGAGTTAATGCTGTTATTTAATTAAGTATATTAAATATAAATCTTTTATTTAATACTTTATGCTAATTAATTATTATATTTCCCAATGAACAATTTGTAAATTCCTCATTGGGCTTTAGGCCCATTCTAACTTTTAATTAATAACAATTAATTAAAATCTAGACTCAATATTAATTGTTCATTAGTCATTAATTTTTCATTAATCATTAATTATTTTTGAAAATTGCCAATTCGCTAATTCCCCATTCGCATAGGGCTTTGGGCCTATTCTAGCTTTTAATTAATAATAGCTAATTAATTAAAACCGTTGGGCTATGGGGTCATTCTAATTTTTAATTAATAATGGTTAACTAATTAAGACCATTGGATTTTGAAACCATTTTAACTTTTAATTAATAACACTTATTAAACACTTATCATTTATGTGAAATTAGGGCCCAACTGAATAAAAAATCGAACCAAATTTAATTAGGGTCAGTTCGATTCTAAAATATAGTTCGATTCGGTTCAGTTAGAGGAAATGGTAAAACCAAATAATCGATTACGTCCTTAATTTAAACCGAACCAAAGTGATTGTACACCCCTTAGAGTTAGTTCACCTGCTTATATCCTTTATTTCATAAGTTTGAAGCCTTGCTTACATCTATCAAATTCAAAACTGAAGTTAACAAGAAAATTAATCACTTGCAATCAAATGAAGGGGTGAATATTAAAGTTAAGTTCTACTTGTAAAATAGTTGGCATTATTCATATATTTTCCTGTCCCTATGCTCAAGGTTAAAAATTGTAGGTATCAGCTTTGTTTTTTAAATTAGGCAAAAGATTAAAAGAATTAGCAGAATATGATTCAATATATAATTCATTTTCCCATCGAATATCATTTTTCAATGAAATCATTCACGGGAATCACTCATTATAATTACCATATACATTTATAAACTCTAAACTCATTGTAATCCAATGAATCAAATTGTTTAGATTCATATAAATCCTAATAGGGCTCAAACTAATATTATCATTGGTTCTAAAATTTTAAATATAAACAAACTATAATTAGACAAATCAAACCCTATCATTGGATTCATGGAAAATTTTTAAAACAATGTAAACACCCCTACTGTCCAAAAATATAAAAATACATAAAAATTTCCAATTTTGGCTCTCAGCTCCTGCATCGATCACTGGATACTTCATATTGTAACGAATAAGGAGATGCTGCTGATGCACAGCTGTAATGTGATGTGTGCAGAGCTTATGGTTAACAGATCCAGACTCTCATCAGTTGGGATGTGATAAGCAATGAACCCCCCAGTAGATTCATGTGTCTTCTAGCCACAGCCCAAAACTTTGCCTTAACCAACATCCTGTCAGGGGTTAAACAGGAAGTTGTATGATCAATTTATTGTTTTGTGCACAGAAGATTTGCCTTTACCAGGAGTGAAACCAAGGAAGTGATAAATGGACTGTATTGCATTAACCCTGGTGGGGCCATAACATCTACATAAGTGGAATGATCAATTCAACCAGTTGAGAAACATGTCATGTTACTGTTACTCACTGGAGAAGAAGGTACATCCAGTATGGGCCCCATAGTTCTTTTATGTCAAAATTGATCATGGTAGAGATTCTTCAGTTCCATTTGAACACACAATGACATTTCACAGGAGCAGTTAAAGAATCTTAATGACATACATTTGTTTGGATTGAGAATTAGGACATACATGTTTTATTACCTTAGGAGTCTGTGTGCAATCACATTCAGGCTTCATAGGGCCACCCAAAATAGCCCACTTCCTTTTGAAATAATGAAACAAAAGTAAAAAAGAAATGGTCCATTGAATTATTAAAGGTGAACTCGTTAGGCCCATTAGGTTTCTTATTTTATTGACAATTTATATCTAGTCTAATCTAAAAGTAGGGTTTTTATCATCATCAAGAGAATTGCATCTTAAAGACAATATGTTGTGAGCTTCATTTGAAATTAATTTCATAAATTATAGGTGTAAAAATGGGTTGGGGTCTGCTACAAACAAGACGTATACAACAGGCTACATAACCCAATCTTGATCGTCCATCAAATAACCTAGTACTATGCTAATAGGGGTGCAACTTAATTGGGTTGGGTGGAAATTTGATAAATTTTCAATGGGCCCGAACCCTAATCCGAATCCGATGCAGTTGAAACCAACATGGTACTGTGGTGATGAAGTGCACCACAGACAAAATACATCAACCCTCACCAACCACATACATGTCATGTTTCTGCATATCTATACGGTTTCTGACTCTGCTGTGTATCGGATCTCTCAACATGCTCTCAACCTCCATAACAAATCTTTCCAAATAATAAGATGGTACCACAATCCCATCCTCTCCATTGCTGTTTCTGAACAGGATTTCCAAACTTGCAATTTGCAACCGAGTCCGATCTCCTGCCCACACAAACTTTGGCCATATCCACACATGAAAAATATCTTATCCTCCTTACATAGGATTATGCAGGGGGAATGATCCCAATTCACGGGAGAGTGTAGGCAGAGTTGTCGTGGACAGAGATCCGGAGTAGTTGCAAGTTGTAACCACCCCTTTGATAGGCACAGGCCCAGCGTATGTGGGTTTCCCCACCCGAAGTCCACATCATCAAACCGGCCCATGTCAGATCTGAAAGAAGGTAGGTCCTCACCATAGTATAGTGGGGTCGGCCCCTGATCACCATCAGATCTGGTAGTGATCTCATGTACTCGTCTGTGACGTCAGATTTTACCTTCCTTATCAATCCCAATGCATACTCTAATGGTAATGGATTCTTACACAACTGATCAGCGGTAGGCAATTGCATTTCCATAGTATCCGGCCGGTAAGGGTAGCCGGAAGCTATTACGTGCATTGACGATGCAAATTACACGGACCTCTTCGTCGGGTCCGGCTGAAATGGCGATGGTGCGGCATTTGAGATAATATCAATGATAGTTACCATCAGTCCTTGGTGATTCCATTATTGGAAATGTTGTCTCATCAGCTTTAAACATATCATCATTCTCATTACCATCAAGTAAGGGAGGATCCTCATCATCGTGCACTATCCAATCTTCCACAACATCAACATGTTCATGCCCAATTGGATCAAGACTTTCAGTTTTTCTTCTACAAATCAATAAATGATACATTAGATGCAATGCAAGCATTAAAAAAAAAGCAATCATGAAACATAAAAGTTAAAACACTTACCCATCCATCACATGCACGTTGCAATGAACATATACTAGGCCATTGAGCATCTGGTGCTCTAACCTATTCCTTTTCTTCGTGGGTATACGTTCAAAAACATTCCAATTGCGTTCACATCCAGATGAGCTACACGTCTGGCTAAGGATCCGTATAGCAATCCTTTTCAAATTTGGAGTGTCACAACCAAATCTCGACCACCATTCACCTATATACAATGAAATAGAGTTAATTTAATTTATAAAATAAAATTGAAAATTGAAATAATAAACATGTTATAAGAAAAAAATATTTATTACCTAGAGATGTTGACTTAAATGTCTTCACTAAGAAAGGTCTTCCAAAATTACTACAACAATTTTCAAAAAGAGTAAACTCTTTGTTCAGGTTTATCTCCACATCATCTGATTTGATTGCAAGCTTTTCAATGACATAAAAAACTGTAGACATAACGGCCGGGGATTTAACTTTTGATTTCGGATCATATTGGAAGGTCGGGTTAAAATAATACCCTGCAAGATGATGCCTCTGACCCATTTGTCTATTCCATCTTCTATGAATAATGTCCATGATTGGGCCATATTCAGCTTTCTTATAATTAAAAAACTTTTTCAGTAATTCTTTTGCCTTCAACATTGCATGATACATATACTCCATTGCAGGCTTAAACTCAGAATTTGCAAGTCTCAATGCACTAACAAGAGGTGATGTGAAACCCACAATCATTTTGCATTGTGCCCAAAATTCAGAATCCAAAACTATTTGTATTATTTTTTTCCCCTTTGCATCTTTTGCATACCTAGAATCAATAAAACTTCGATCTATCACCAAATTTTGCAAATCATGCATGTGCTTCAAAATGTTATCCAATGCAATGAAATTAGTTGCAAAATGAGTGACTCCAAGACGTATTATCTCAGTTCAAACAGGTCTCTTCCTTAGCATTGAGAGTACAAAAATATGATTGTAGACAAATTTGGTAATTCTAGATGCATGTTGAACCACATTTGCAACATAATCCATTTCCTCAATTTCCTTTAACATCAAGTTTAGACAATGTGCTGCACAAGGTGACCAATATATCCATGGAAATTCTGCTTCCAACAATCTTCCTGTAGCTACATAATTTGCAGCATTGTTAGTGATCACCTGAACAACATTTTCTGCTTTTACCCAATCAATAACTTCCTTAAACAAAAGAAATAAATTCTCTACACTCTTGACTGTTTCAGAAGCATCTACAAACTTTACAAATGTAGTTCCTGTGGGACAATACACTAAAAAATTAATCAATGTTCAGCTACGTGTATCTGTCCAACCGTCAGCCATTACAGTGCAACCATAAGTAGCCCAATAGTAACATTTGCACCTCCTGAATTAAATCCTTCAACAAATTGGTCCTACAATTATGATATGAAGGAGCTTTGTACCCTGGACCAATAGTAACAAGGGCATCCAACATAGGTTGAAAGTATCTTGAACACAAAGAATTCAAGGGAATACAAGCATCACACAACCACTTCATAATAGCATGGTCCACATGATTAATTGCTGCCTTAGATGCCAATACACTCTTAATTCCAGGTTGTGCACCTAGAGTGGTTCGTGGAGCAAAATAGCTAGTTATTAGCCCTGAAGATGCTTTCCCCTTTCCCGATGATGTAGTTGGTCTTTTCAATTGATAGGAATCATGTGTACTAAGTGGATCTATTTCTCTAATCTCAATATCATCATCATTATCATTCCTTCCACAATGTGCTCTAGTGTCAACAAAATTCATTGGTTGCTTTTCACTTCTTTTTTTGTCATTGATTTCATTCAACGATTGATCCATTTTGAACCTTACATCATAGGGTACTTTACGACAAATTGCAATATCACCTTTCCTTTGGGCAAGATGTTGTTTCATCCTATTAATCCCTCCCCCTTTAAAAGTCTTTTGACAATAAAGACATATCATTGACTTTGATCCATTAAGAATGTCAACTTTAAAGGAAACATGCTCCCAAGCAGAATCAGTTTTTCCTCTAACATTTGATGAAATTGACTCTTGTGATGGAGCTGGATCAGATGTATTAGCATTTGGACTTTGAGATTCCATCATCTTAGTTCAATAAAAAAAACCCAACTCAAAAATAAATCCCTTCATACAAAGACAAAATATAAAATTTAAAACATTGCTTTGACTAAAAGAACCAACCAAAATGTAAAATCGCTCCATATAAGCAAAAAATAATTAAGCAAATAATTTACCAAAATGTAAAATCACACCATTAGAAATGAGAGTAAGTTGCTTGCAAAAATTTAAGCAAAACTTTTAAGATTTGATCATCATATGAAAATTAAGAAAAATATGCATATGAAAATTAAAAACAAATTAAGCCAGATTAATTAAACAAAGAACTAAGCATCTGATCATCAAATGAAGTTTGAGGGTTCAGCAAGACATATAATCAACAAGAAACTGATACAAAAATACATGCAACAGTTTTCTGCTAGTAAATCTATCAACTTATCGTCTGTTGCTCCTAATTATAATCTATAAAGTATTCACTAAAAGCCTCTGCCTAGCAAGTCCAAAGCAAAATGATGAACCAAATGAAGAACAAACAGAGGCTGATGAACCAAATGAATCAAAAAAAATCAAAAAATCTCAAAAAAATTATACCTTCACTGTCGAGTGCCGGTAATGGTGGTGTGACAATGGATTCGCAGCCGGTGGACTTGGGCAGTTGGGCTTGGTCGTAGGCAAGTTACTGTTGCAAGCCTGCAAGTGCTGAGTGCCGAGTGGATTCGCTGCCGCTGCAAGCCTGCAAGTTGGGCTTGGGCTCGCCAGTGCAAATGCTGAGTGCTAAGTGTCGTTGTCGAGTGCCGAGTGCCGCTGCAAGCTCACCATCCATGACTGCAAGCTCGCCGTCCACCGCTGCAAGTCGCCACTACAAGTGCTGGATCTTCTCGCCATTGGATCCTGCTACAAGTGCTGGGGTGTGGGTTACTTTTTTCCATTGCAAGCTCGTTGGTCGTCGTCGGTGTGTATCGTTGTCAGATGCTGGAGGTGATGGCCACTGCAGGTGATCGGTCGGTAGGGTGTGAGGGTTGAGAGGAGTGAGGAGGGAACTCGGGAAAATGGGAAATAACCCTAAATCTAAAGGAAAAATCGAATAAGGATCCGAACTAGTTAGGATATAATGGGTATTTTATTTTTTTGTTTTTTTATTTAAAACATTAAAAATAAAAATCTTAACCCGCGAACCACTGCCCGGGTTGAACGGTTTAGCGGTCCGACTGCCCGGGTCAAACGGTTTAGCAGTCCGACTGCCCGGGTCAAACGGTTTAGCAGTCCGACTGCCCGGGTCGAACCGTTTAGCAGTCCGACTGCCTGGGTCAGTGGGTTTTTTTACTTTTCAACGCTTTTTTTTTCAATTTTTCGGTTTCTAGTAAAACCAGACCCGGATGGCTGACTGATTACCGGTTTTTTCAGTCTGACTGTCTAGTCCGGTCCGGTTTTGAAAACCATGTTTTTCACTGCTTGGTACTGTTATTTTCTTCAATGGAAAATTTTAATGGAATAACTAGTATTAATTGATGAAATAATTTTTTTCCAAAAAGAACTTAGATAAAAACGGGAAGGGAAAATTTTCAATAGGTGCTCTGTATTTTAAGCAAGTAGAGTGCCAATTTAGTATCCGAACTTTAAAATGGGATAATTTAGTATCCAAACTTTTAAAATGAGACAATTTAAGGACCTATGGTTAAGTGTCATGGGAAAAGACACAAATGTCTTTCAAGAGTTATTAAATTTTCTAGTGTTATCAAATTTTCTTTATCAATTATCAACAACGTCCTTCTTGTATTTCTCGATTCAAAAATAGAAATTATATTTGATTTCTTTTGCCATGTTTGCCATGAAAATGGTTTTCCATCTGTCGTTCCATTCTCCTCTTGACGAACAAATCAAAGATAAAGAGAAAGAGGATGGAGTTGCTTCCAGAGGGAGCAAACCAGAATCAGTTATGGATGTTAAAATCGCCAACCCTTTTCGTCCTTACTACCATTTGCAGAAGAAGATAAGGAGCTCTCTTTTTGGTCTGCTCTTCTACTTCCCTACCTCCCTATTGTCTCTCGTCCTATTCGTGCCTCTGGCCTACAACAACGCTAGCATTTTCTGTCTACACATCCCTTTTCCGGCGAAAATCTCTACGGAATCTACTAGCTTTACACCTGAATAGCAGTAGGACAAATAGCACGAAAATGGTCTTCTTCGTCTTCCTTATGCTCCTTGTTCATGTATGTTGTCAAGGAGGAAATCCCACCTTCTAAACCGAAGGGACATTTGCCCCCTTTGCAAGAACAGGAGTCTTTAGTTCTTCCATGGAACTCTTCTTCGGCTCAGAGGTCAAGGTGGGACAGAAAGAATGGGCTGATGTTTAAGATTTTGCAGCCTACCACCCTGTCAAGGCAATTTTTGTAAGAGTACACTAGTTCTTTCATGGGTCACATTTGAATTTTTCTTGCAAGGTTCCGTTTTTCATGACTTGGATTTCTACTTTGGAGTCGTTCAAAGCTCAAGCACATTCACAGGGAAAGTTTTTCTGTTCACCTATGGAATAAATAGAGTAGGAAGATGAAGGTTGAAGATGATGAACAATGTTTTCATTTTCTTGAGAAAGTTCAAGGGTAATTTTGACATTTTCAAAAGTCTTAAATTGCACATGAGGTCACGTGATATACATAACCGGTGGTCTACTAGCAGTAAGTACTATATTGTCGCATTTCGAAAGTTCGGGTATTGGATTTTCACATTTTAAAGTTTGGGTACTAAATTGGCACTCGACCTAAAATACAGGGTACCTATCGAGAATTTTCCAAAAAAGAAATAAGTATTTTTATTAATTTATATTTTATTATTAATATTTTGTAAAAGAATTAACAATTTATTAATGTGTCATAGGTCTAATATTAGCTCTTAAAAATCTTATAAGGAAAGCGTTATTTTAATGTTAAACAAGTTTCTTCTTCCTGCTTGTTTCACACCAAAATGGTGTGATTGTACTTCCCTAAAATTGAAAATATTCCATTCTACAAACTAAATGTGGGAATGGAAGAAAATTTGAGAATATTCCTTTTCTTTACTTTCCATTCTACAAATCAAATGGAGCCTAAAGAAGCTTTGGTAGAAAAATGCAGATAAAAATAGAAAAAAACATGTAAATGTAGTGCTATAAAGAGTTTTGGATCAACCTAACAAGCCCAAAAGGGGTCCAATTAACCCTATTACATATAGTCTTGGTCTATATTTATTTTGGGTTAGAAATGGCTTTGTATGTTTCAACTTTCAACCTTATATCTGAATCTCATGGCTTACCTGCGATAAAATATCTAAACTTGTCACTTTATAACGAAAATATAAGTTATTTTGAGAAGAAAGAGCAAGAGAATTTAAGGCAGCTGAAGGAAGTGGTAGATGTACTGTATTGCATTTATTCTGGCGGGGCCTAGCATCTTAAGTGGTATGATCAATTCAACCCATTGGGCATTTGGACCCCATAATGCTCTATACGTCAAAATTGATGAAATGCTTTTCTTAACTTTAAACTTTCGGAGCCAGTGAGAAATCACATTCACATGTTGGGCTTCATGGGGCCACACATAAAATAGTCCACTTTCTTTTTGGAACAAGAGGATAAGGAAATGGTTCTTGTTATTGAATGATTACAAGTGAACTCATTAGGCCCATTAGGTTTCCTTTTTATTGATAATTTCTTTCAATGCTACAAACGTTAAAAGTATTTTTAAAAGTAGTTTTTTTTTTTCTTTTTCAGTAGAGGCATTTTTAAGACAATGTTCTAAGACTGTGTTTTGGCTTGAAGGAAAAAGTAGGAAAAGGAAAAGAAACTTATATACAAAATTTGTATAGGTTTCCTTTCCTTTTCTTACTTTTCCTTGAAACCAAACATAAACTTGAAGTTAATTCCATATAGCCATCATCTATACCCAAGATTTCTGCCAATAGGGTTTAACTTGGATTGTGTTGGATTGGGAGTTTGTTAAATTTTCAATGGGCCTGATGAACTCTAACATGAGCCTGATGTGATGAAATTGTTGTAAGTGGCTGAAAAATTCATAGACCATTTAGATTTTTTTTTCTCTAAAGGGGGCATTTGGTTCGTTAAGATAAATGAATTTTCTACTGATATCAGCTTATCATCAGTTGAAAAGTAAAAGTAGATACGATTGTTCATATGTAAAGTAGCTTTAATAAGTAAACAAAAGCAACATAATCTGATCATTGATCCAATTTGGTCCCAGTCTGGTCCGGTGTTTGCCCAATTAAAAAAAAAAAAATGAAAAGGGATGTGGAAAAATCAAAATGAAGAGAAAATTGTGGACTCAAATGAGTGGAATTATCATCTCGATCATCACGTGTATCATATGATCCAGCTCAAAACTATACAACATAAAGCCTGTTATAATTCATAAAAACGAGCTAGGGGGAATAAGTCCTTGTCTAGCCAGTTCACACTCTCAAAGGACAAAGCTAGCTTCATTTTCATCATGCTGACTTGCTAGCACACAAAGATTAACACACCGACAAGGCGACAACCACACCATTACATGATCCTGTGGTGATGAGGTGCACCAGAGGATATACATCACCCCTCATCCACCATCCATATCCATGTCATGCTTCTGCAGATACTACACTATTCCTGTTCAGATGGCTGATGTAATGAAGGTGGAGGTCTGGATATGTGGTTGCTGTATTGGATCCCTCAGCATACTCTGAAGCTCCCAAACAAACCTTTCCATGGCAGGCCCAGGCAAGCAGATGGGTAGCACAATCCCATCCTCTCCTTTGCTGTTTCTGAATGGGATGTAGAAGCTTGCAACCCCAGGAATGGCCCCTACACCCCCCTTGGCGGGCCCACCATAGGCGGGTTTCCCCCATCCGAAATCCACGTCGGCAAACCCGGCACGTGTCACATCAGAAACAAGGTAGGACCTTACCACAGTAAAGTGAGGTCGGCCCCTGGTCACCATAAGATCTGCCAATGATCTCATGTACTCATCTGTTACATCAGATTTTGCCTTCTTCACCAATCCCAATGCATACCCAAATGGATTCTGACACAGCTTTCCGGCCGTAGATAACGCCACCGGAAAGGCAAAAGCGTTCCCGTAGTATCCGGCCGGCAAGGGTGGCTGGAACCTATCACGTGCGTTGACGATGCAAATCATCCGGACCACCTCGTCGGAGTCCGGTTGAATGGCGACGGTGCGGCATCGCCACAGGCACGCAGTTAGCACCTCAAATGTGGAGCTCTTGCGAAGGTGTGGAGGGACATGCCTCCGAAGGGCCAAGATCTCGGTTGGGCCGAAAAAGAAAGACCGGTGAACCATGTCATCTAGAGGAATGATTGTGCCCCTTGTGTCCACCACTTCATCGTACTCACGATGAACACAAGACACGTGTGGCGGGTTCCGAGCATTGAGTAGCTCCCTCTGCCACACGGGTGGCACGGATGGGGCATGTGCACCACGTGCCATCTCGCCAACGGCGTTCATAAATTGGACCAGACCGGCCGCATCGCTCATGGTGTGGTTCAACCGGAGGGCAAAGATAAAGCCACCGCACATCAGACGGGTCACCTGCATAGAAAGAAGATTCATTATTTGTTGACCTAGGAAGTGAATGATGAAATAAGGGAAAGAACAAAATATGAGTCAATGAGTGAGGTAATGCTCGTGTCCTTTATTTTTATAAAGGAACTTTGAGTAGACTTGCTTGGATTTCATCTATTGGAAGTTGATTAAATTAAACTTATGCATCAACATCATCTGAATTGCCCTTAAACTTGGAATGATATCCTGTGAGGTGCGCCTAGTGAGGAGCAAATCCGAATTCATTCGGTACTTATACATGTATGCATGCATGTATTGCATGTGTGTCTCTTTTCCACATGATTTGGCTAAGCATGAAGTAACTTAATGAGAGAAGAAAGTAGGATCTTTCTTTATTCGGGGAATTCATCAATTCCTTTGATCATCAACTAACCTGAATCAACAACAAAGGACAGTTGAGGACTCCGCCGGAGCCGGGGACATCAAAAAGGAGCTCCTCTAGACAAGGGAATGGAGGCTGAAGAGCATCGCCAAACTGCTCCAGCCTTACATCAGCATCGGCTTCAATGAACATGACACCTTCTCCGGTGCATTCCACCGTGAGTTTCCGATGAGGTCCCTCCCTCAGCCTACCCGCAAATGGGTAGTAAAACACCAGTGCTTTTGCTATCGCCTGTCGGATGGCCTGAGTGGGGTTTCTTCCCTCCATGGAGGGATCATAGCGATAGAACTGTATCACCGGAATTTGAAACCGAAGGCCTTCCTGGTCGTCAATGTCGGAGAGGTCCTTGAATTCATGGGGAGTGGGCTTCGCAGGTGCTATGAGCTCAGGTTGGCGCCTCCGCACGGTGAACACCAGCGAGGAAGAAGTTGCCATGGCTGAAGATATGAGTGATGGAAGAGATACAGAGAGAGAGAGAGAGAGATGAATGAGGACTGAAAGTTGATGAAGATTCTAGTGGTGGGTATCTCCTTGGATGGTCGAAACTATTTATAGTGTGGGAGAGGGACCGAGGGATGAGAGAGAGAGAGAGAGAGAGAGAGAGAGTAAAGGGTAGGTTTGGTCTAAGCAAGCGTTTGAAAATTGAACTACTGGATTAAGATGCATTTGTAGTGACATGCACTGTAAGTTTCTGGGCTGCTGGGGTGATATTAACAACATTTGCTCTCTGTTTTAATTTTCTTTTGAACATTGACTCAATAGAATAGACTCGACTGGATGTGTTGAGCTGATTGGCTTGGGCTCCAGCGCTCGGCTAAGCTCCTATGAATAAATTATAAAGGATTTGGCTTCACTTTTCTTTGTTGGGATCTGAAGAATAAATTATAAAGCATTTTGTTCACTTCCCATGTCTTGGTCCACTCCCGGTGTGTAGATTCTTGGAAAATGGAGCAAAAGCTGCAGCGGTTTTCCTTGAGACTTGAGAGGACAAAAAAGGTTGGCCGTTTGTTTACAGTTACAGTGTTAATACTGATTATCTACTGAAATTGAAAGAGAAGTTAATAAATCATCATTCAGTTCAGTCCCTTCAACTGTTAGGAAAAAGTTTGGTCGATTGATAAAAATAGGCTGGGCTGTTTGGGAGCTTTCAGCGCATGACACGTTATCTCATTCAGTACTTTATATATCTTTTTTAACTAAAAGAATATTGGTTACAAATATTCTTTTTACAACATCCATGCAAAAGCAGTTCAGGTTATTTTTACCAAACAACCAAAGTTTTTGTTCCGAAGGCTCCTATTGGCAATTTGACATATTGGGGAGTTTAAATTGGAGTGATTGATAGAGTACATCAGGTTCAACAGTTGGATTCTAGACCCATGTAGCAAAGCTATTGTGGTGGAACATTCTTCCCTCCAATTTTTGACAAATTTACCCAATCTGGTAGGTTTTGGTACTGGGTGCCTGGATAATAGTGGATATGAAACCAAACAAAACAGAATGCAGAAATAGAATTCATGTAGGCAGCCGATCACATATATTTGTTTTTTCGACAATCAGAGTATAGTTAGAATAAGGCTTAGATGATAATGAAATTTCGTAACTATTTACAAATCTTATATATATATATAGATATATGTAAGATAATTATATATATATATATATAATAGTTATTATAAATATTGTTAATAATTAGATATCGAACCGTTTGAATGGTTTTGACCGTTTTTAATTTTTTAATTTTTTTTTTATTTTTTTGTTAGAATGAGCCGATCGTTCGGTTCAAATGGTTGGATCGTTCGATTTGGTAACCGGACCCTTGATCAGTTCGGTTTTCGGGTCGGTTTTAAAAACCATGATATTATGTCATTCAAACGTGTGACTCATACGACCCAAAAATGAAACTATTTTGGCCACCGGTTTTTGGGTCGATAGTTTGACCATCTGGTTCGATCGTCCGGTTCGAATGGACAACCCGTTCTGACAACAAAAGTTAAAAAATAAAAAATGGTCAAAAACCATTGAACGGGTCAACGGGTTGACGATTCGACCACTCGGGTCAATGGGTGGTTGACACTTTCCTATTAATAGATGTATATAAGATAATTAGATATATATAGTTATCTAATTATATAAATATATAATAGTTATTATAAAAGTTGTTAATAACTAGATATTGAACCGTTAGAACTGTTTAAACGGTTTTGACCATTTTTTATTTTTTTGTCAGAGCGGACCAACCATTCGGTTCTATTTAACCCGGTAACTGGACCCCTGACCAGTTTGGTCTTCGGGTCGGTTTTAAAAACCATGATGTTATCTCATTCGATCGTGTGAATCATATGACTCAAAAATGGAACTATTCTAGCCACCAGTTTTTAGGTCGATGGTTCGACCGTTCAGTTCGAACAGATGACCCGTTCTGACAACAAAAATTAAAAAAAATAATAAAAAATGACCAAAAACTATTGAACGGGTCAATGGGTTGACGGTTCGACCACTTGGGTCAATGGGCTATTGACCGATTCAATGGTTTTTGGCCAAGGACTGGGATTTGGGGTAAAATGGAACTGGTTGCTTTGATGGTTCCCAATTAAAAAAACTAAAAAAAACGGATGACCCATTTTGACAACAAAAATTACAAGCAAAAAATTGAGTGTGTGAGGTCCATTAAACAATACCATACATGTTATGTCATTCGAGTGTGTGACTCATACGACCTGAAAACGAAACTGTTATGGCCACCAGTTTTTGGGTCGAAGGTTCGAATGGATGGCCCATTCTGACAATAGAAATTAAAAAAATAAAAAAAATGACCAAAAACTATTGAACGAGTCAATGGTTCGATCGCTTGGGTCAATGGGTCGTTGACCAATTCAACGATTTTTGTTCAGGTACCGAGATTTGGATAAAACGGAACTAGTTGTCCAGATGGTTCCCAATTAAAAAATAAAAAATGGCCAAAAACCATTGAATGGGTCAACGGGTCAATGGTTTGATCACTCGAGTCAATGGATCGTTGACCGATTCAACAGTTTTTGACCAGGGACCAGGTCAACGGGTCGACGGTTCCATTCTAGCCCTAGCAAAGCAGGGCCCCTTCGCTAGTTTGGTATTAAAGCCCCAAAAAGTTTAGCAAAACAAACCCCAACAAGAATTTACAAAAGCATTATTATTATTATTACTTGGTGTGAGAATGATAAAAATCTTAGACTAACAAACGTGAGAAAATGAGAACATGAAGTTAAATCAAAAGAAGGCCACTTTGTGCCAAAAAGAAGGGAAATATTTAGCTCTACATCTCATGTGATGCAGCTTTGGGACCCAGCTACTAGGGCTTAAGGTTGCAAACTGGGCTGGGTTAGGTCGGGTTGAGGCTAACTCTATCTCAACCCTAAGTTCTAAATCCCCAACCTTAATCCTAATCCAACCTGACCTTCAACCCGACTTATCCAATCCTAACCCTAACTCTAATTAAATTCCTTCAACCCTAACCCAAATCAACCCAACCCAAACTGAACTTCGGGTTGGGCCCAACCCAACCTTCATCCCATCCCTTAAAATCTCGTAGAACTTCTTAATCTTAGATCTTAACTCAACTTTCATTACATATGTTAATCCTATGTTTTATTAGTATTTGTTTGTTGATGTTTTTATTGGTTCTTTAAGTACAAAATTCATAAAAAAAGTGTTTGAAATGACTATAGTTTATTATGATGACTTATAATAGATCTTTTATGGGCAACAAGCTATGGGTGGCAAAAAATAGAGAGGAGATAAACAATAAAATATTCAGAAAACATAACATATGTTATCAAGGTTTTAGCATTTCCAATTAGGATCAAGTGAAGTGATTATTTTAAATGAAATAAATGATAATATGTGGTGGTGGCTATACAATTATCATGCATCTAAACGTATCAATATATGATATGTACTATAGAGTCAGGTTCAGGTTGGGATGGGTTGCCCAAGGGGTCAATCCTAACCCAACCCAATGTAAAGTCGAATTCACAAATTTCAACCCTAACCTTAACCCAAGCACCAACTTGACTCAACCCAGTCTGACTTTCAAGCTAGCTAACCCGGCCCAAGTTGCAGCTTTACCAAGGCCAGTGGGTTAGTGGCAGCAACAGCAGGGATGTATGTGCCAGTCCACCGATATTTACAATGTGGAGAGCCTGCTGTTCTACAGGTTTGAACCCATGCCTCTTCAAATGAAAGGATACTGAGTGACCGACTGATGAAATACTTAGATCATTAACTAGACCCTAGATATGGCCTCATTGTAAAATTATCAACACTTAGAGATCTATTGAAGATAGCCAGGGGATAGCTATCGGCATTTTCAGATGAATAACGTTCATAATTGTGAAGAGTGGAAGGATGAAGTCTTCACTTAGGTTGATCTACAGAAGAACAAGCCATTATGACCCCTTCTTTTCACTACTTGGTACTTTCATTTTCCGCAAGTATATAATTTCAATGGAATAATTAGCTGGTACTTGTATATCAGCTGATAAAAGAGTTTGATGGCATAAAGAGCTTATAGAAAGAAGATCAAGTATTAGAAACCAGAATTGGGTGTGGGGGTGGGGTTGGGATCATGTATATTGGAAAAACATCAGGAGTGTGAATTTTCAGTCAAATCGGAATATTCATGAGGATCGATCCATCACCTTCCATCTTCAACCTCTTTGGTAATTAACACTGGTGGATTCATATAATTTCATTATATTAATTGGAGCATTTGTTGTGGAATGCGTTGACAGTACTAAAAGTTCAACTAATCACAAGCCATAAGAAGGATGATATCTCGTGTCCTTTCTCTGGCATTGAGAGAAGTGGATCATCTTTTAAATTCGTGTCCATTGGCTTTGTTAACTTTTTCATCTATTTTAGGGAACATCCATCATTATGCAGGGGATTCAAAAGGTGTATTCAATTTGTGACATTTTAGCTGTCTCTGAAGTGTGCTAATTGTTCCAACAGTGAAGATACTGTTTCTGTAGGGTAGATTATTTTGCTCCTTTTAATGCCGTCCATGAGTTTTGATTCAAGCTTTATATATTAACCAAAGTTCATGGAGGTGGGGGCATTGCCATACACCAAGAATGCCCCCTTCTAATAGACTAGTGTAAAAGTATGTGTTATATATGTATACGTGTAACCCAAGGCAAATATCCGTTTTAAATAGTATAGATTACAATAATTTATATGTAGATATATCAGGGGCAGAGCCAGGGGGACCTAGGGGAGCCATGACCCCCTTATGGGCCAAAAATCTCCACTATTCCATGTGAATTTCCCCTTCCTCTATTCATCCCCCCAATGTTATCTAGATTTTGGACTTTTTCTTGATTAAAAAAAATCTTATTTTTAAATTTGGTCCCTCATAAAAAATGTAATTTAAACTATTATTTTTAAATTCATTCTACTCCCTATCATTAAATTGTATATTTAATTAGACAATATTTAGAGAACCAAACCAGACATAGAACAATAAAATGGAGAGATTCACAAACCAGGTGCTCAACCACAGTCAAAACGAAGGT